TGTTGTTGGAAAGCACAAAAGAAAAGGGGAAAAAAATTCTCAGGTGATTGAGATACCCCACTTTTATTTTAAGAAATACAAAAACTACCCTAATCGGTTTGGCTCAGTGGATAGAGCATCGGCCTGCGGACTGAAGGGTCCCAGGTTCGATTCTGGTCAAGGGCATGTACCTTGGTTGTGGGCACATCCCAGTAGGTGGTGTGCAGGAGGCAGCTGATCGATGTTTCTCTCTCATCGATGTTTCTAACGCTCTCTCCCTCTCCCTTCCTCTCTGTAAAAAATCAATAAAATATATTTTAAAAAAAAAGAAATACAAAAACAGAAGGAGAAGTTTGGGAAAATGGTGAAAAAGAAAAGGTGAGAAGTTAAAAAGCAGAAAATTTGTGGTATAACTTAAATATTTGCATTCTTATGGAAGAAAACAGAGTGTTTGAAATAAAAGGATGCATCAACAGGATATAATTGACACTTATAGACTAATTCATCCAACAACAGCAGAATACAATTTCTCAAGTTCACCTGCAACCTTCACCAAGACAGAATACATTGTGAGCCATAAAAAATACCTTAAATTTAAAAGGATAGAAATCATATAAAATTACACTAGAAAGCAGTAACACAAAGATAGCTGAGAAATCTCCAAATAGTTTGAGATTAAACAATATGGTACTAAATAACACATGGGTCAAAGAAAACATCGGAAAAATTAAAAACACCAGTTATCTCTCATGAACATAGATGAAAATATCCTTTAAAGATATTAGCAAATCAAATACCATAATGTATAGAAAGAATTATATACCATAATCAGTGGGATTTATGGTTCAACAACCATAAACTGATTATAATAATCCCACACATCAACAAGCTAAAGAAAAATCATATGATCATAATAAGAGAATATAGGTCAATAGGAAAAATGAAAAGTAGGAGCATTTTTTAAAATGGTTTTGAGTTCTGATAAACATTTTTCTTAAACTAATCAAATTTGTGAATGTTTACCTTCATGGTATCTACCTCTGGTAACATAATTACACACAGATAGTTATATTTCCTTTATATGCCACTACACTTTCATTTTTACTCTGACATCTCTAATCCCTATTAATTGAACAATAGAAAATCTCCAAAATTCTGGACAACAAAGAAAAAATACCTTATAAAACTGTAATCTTAAATCCAGAACAAATGTAGTCATTCAAAACCTTCCAATGGCTTCCTAACACATTCACAATAAAACCCAAACTCCTGTGAGGCCCTAAATAATCTCACCCTGTGTTAATGTCACCAATCTCTGCCTTCACTTACCTTCTTGCTCTTCAAGCAGGCCAAGCTTATTGCTACCTAATGTCTTTGCAACCCCTGCTGTTCTCTCAGATTAGTATAGTCCTTTCCCAAATCTTTGCATGGCTAATTTCACTAAGTTCTCTACTCAAACATTAGCTCCTCTGAGTGACCTGCCCTGAATACTCCACCTAAAATACTTGGCCCATTGCCCCATATTCCATCCTCCTCGGCCTTCATCGTAGTCCGTCATGCTATTTTAGTGTTTCTTGTAGCATTTTCCCTTGCCTGACAGTATAGTACATATTTCCCCATGAATTTCCTATCTCCCCCACTAGAACGTAAGCTTCATGAGCATAAGGGCTTTCTCTGCCTTAATCAGCACATTCAGCAGTTAGTATATGTTGACTTAAAAAAGCTACTTACCGTTGTCAGAACACGCATAATTGTGTCTATATGCCACCGTTTGGAAGGTGCATACCTAAAAAAATAATGGCACCAGGTGAAGAAATTGGAACCTGTAAATTATACTGTGCTCAGTGACTTTCAAAGATCCTGCCTATTATCATAAGTGATTATATTTAGGGACATTTCACCTTCAAATCTAGCAGCAATATCCATTTCCCAGGGTGATGAAATGGCACACTGTCAAACTCAGATGGTCTACATAGTATTGCAATAGGAGTTGCTGAGCTAAGAAAAGAGACTGTCTGAGAAAAAGTCAGATCAAGAGAGGATAGAGAAGAAAGAAAAGGGACTATCCCCAGACCCAGACAACACCAGGATTAGGAACTTGGTCCCTTAAATTCACAGTGGAAAGTATAGAAATAACCATACAACCAAAATCTTTAGGTACCTCTTCCTAAAAGTTTTACACTCAACCACAATTTAGATGCTGAAACATCTATATCCTCATAAAGAGGGCATCATGGATGAGAGGTTAAAGAACAGATTATAGGAGGATTATAAATCCCAGGTTTTATAAAAGAGGGATTTTTGGAGGGGGGAGGGGTCTTAGTATACTTAAATGCTGGCTATCATGGCCTCCTCAAAGCTAATTTCTAATTGGGAGCTTGAAATAAATGTTACATGTTTTAAACATGTTTACAACATTCTCATCTTTTAAAAATGCTTTTTAAAATTCCAAGTATCTTTTACTAATAAAGGTAAAAATCAAATCTTACTTTTCTGCAGCAAGAAAGATTCCAGATGCACAGTCTGCTTTAAATTCTGGCTCACAGGAATCCAGAAAATAAAGTAACTCCTTCATCATGCCTCGGATATTATTCCCATTTACCAGGGCAAAACTCAATTCCATTGCACGCCTTGCAGGGGAGAAATTACAAAACAAAACAAAAAAGAAACCAGTTATAGTTACTGTGGGAATGAAACAAAGACCCAGGGGTTTTCTCTCCGAACACCAAGCACTGGCGGATGTGCTCATGTTCTTGCATGACCCTGTGATCCAATCTTTGCACACAAGATAACAAAAGTTATCAAAGTTAGTTTTTCTATTTTGAATCTTCGTCCAACACTTTCTTCAACACTAAGAGAGACACAACTGATCAAAAATGTAGTTTGGGTTCAATATTCTATTCTATGAAGCTGAAATTTAGAATACTTAAAAGGCTCAAAAAGAGTCAACAAAATTATTACCCAAAGATATCTCTCTGCATTTATTCCTTAAAAATGTAATATATAAAGTCATCATACTCTTTTATTACACTCACTTCTGTCCAAAGATGATGTAACACAGTTATATCAAGGTATGTGGGAAATTTTCATAAACACAAACCTTGAGGGTATTACACTAAGGGCAGTAAGTCAGACCGAGAAAGATAAATACTGCAGGATATCGCTTAAATGTGGAAGCAAAAAACACACAGAAATAGAGACTAGAACAGTATTTACCAGGGCCAAGGGGGTGGGGAGTAGAAGAGATGTTGGTCAGAGGGTACAACTTCCAGTTATAAGATGATTAAGTTCTAGGGATCTAATTGTACAGCAGAGTGGTTAAAGTTAGTAACACTGTATTATATACCTGAAATCTGCTAAGAGAATAGATCTTAAATGTTCTTACCACACACAAAATATACAGTAATTATGTAATACTAGAGGCCCAGTGCACAGATATTGGCACCAGTGGGGTCTCTTGGCTTGGCCTGCAGAAATCAGGCCAAAACCGGCTCTCCGATATCCCGAGGGGTCCTGGATTTCGAGAGGGTGCAGGCCAGGCTGAGGGACCCCACCGGTGCACAATCAGGGCCATGAAGGGACCAGGGGAGGGCTCCAGGGCATGTCTGGCCCATCTCGCCCAGTCCCCATCGGCCAGACCTCAGCAGCAAGCTAACCTACTGGTTGGAGCATCTGCTCCCTGGTGGTCAGTGAGCATCAGAGCAACTGGTGGAATGGTTGAACGAATGAATGGTCGGATACTTAGCATACTAGGCTTTTATTATATAGGATGATGCACTGTGTTAGCTAATGCTATGATGATAACTGTTTTGCAATATATGACTGTGTTAAATCAATGCACTGCGCACCTTAAATTTACAGAATGTTTTATGTCAATTATATCTCAATAAAGCTGAGGGGAAAAACTGAGAGAGAGAATGAGGGCCATGAAAAGGAAAAAAGGGCATGTGCTATGAGGGCAAATAAAAGTTTTTATAACTGCCTATCAAATTTGCTAACCAAGGCAAAATGGAAATGTTTAACATAAAAGTTATAAGGTTACTATATACACCTTTTCATATTTGGTCAATAACATCAAACATGGTATATAGATTGACTTTCAAAAATATTCATTTACTAAGTAGAAAGTACTGTCATCTTAACTAATTTATAAGCAATAAAAAAATCAATCCTTATAGAAATACAGTAACATATAATTCTCATATAATGCTTAGATACTTTATTTATATTAATCCAGTTAATCCTGCATAATCCTAGAAAATGGGTTCTATTGTATGGGCATTTTACATATGGGACAACTGAAGCACTAAAAGGTTAAGTAACTAGACCACATCTATTACGGGCAGAGGCAAGATTCAAAATAAGGCAGTCTGGTAAACAAGAAGATACAGATTTTACTTTTGAAATGCACAGGCCAGTAACAAGCTAGAGAAAAACAAAACAAAATAGGAGTCAGAAGGCCTGATTTCTATTCCCAGGTCTGCCTCTGTATAAGCAGTACAGTTTAGAGTAAGTCATTTGATTCCTTTGGGGACTGTATTTTCACTAATCTGTTAATTGAGAATAGAAGTAATTGCCTTGTCTCACTGGCTTGCTCAGAGAACTGAGAGGGCGTTCATAGATTGTTTACTTTGCAAGGCACTATGTGAAAGTTGTTATAGCTGAGTCAAGATCTTATCTTTAAATTGTCCAAGCATTTAGTACGTGTTCTCCACAAACAAAAGGAACTCAATAGCAATAAATGATTGTTAAAAAAAAAAAAATGTTTGTTATGTGAATGGTTTCAGAGATCATCTCAAATCTAATTTGTCCTGGATTTGAACATACAACCACAACTAAGCTAGGTTTTACAAACATCTATAATCCTTATAAGAGGAGAACCAGTAGAGCTACTCCATGGAGAAAAAAATGTAAGCCGTTAGAAAGTGCTATCTACCTGCTTCCGAACATCATTCCTAGATGCACTGTTCTAAAAAACACAGCTGCCTCTAGTATCTTGGGGCGTAAGTACTGTGAGAAAAAGTGTGCTGTCAGCAATTTGAGTTTCAGCATCGTGATAAAACACTTAGCCGATGGATCACTCTGTATTTTCATCCTCCAACACACCAAAGCACAGTACTTCTGTTAAGTAACCTTTTGTCAAGCTTATCTCTTTATTGGTTTTATTTATCAGAGAAACAAGGACAACTTCATTGTGCACTGAAGTCTTCCTTTTTGGCCTCCTTCATTGACCTAACCCCTTCTCCCTGCCAATCCTTTCTAAAAAAGGATTTACTCTGCAGAAAATTCATCTATGAAAATGAGGACAATACATAAAGGTCAACACTCTCACTTCCAAAACTATTACAAAGTTAGCAGGTGGGGTGGAGGCAAAGAACTATCAATAATCTGTTACCGTTTTATTGAGACATCCAAATCTTTTAGACAGTCCACAATGGTGCTTCTGTGCCTCTGCACTGCATTATGATCTGTCTGCACAGTCTTCAACAAGGATGTCAGAGCTACATATCTGCATGAAACAAAGTTGCAGAAGAACAGAATTAAAATGTAAAATTCAGGGTGGTTTTTTTCTGCCTAAAATAATGACAAAAAATGTCTAAAGACTAAGGGAATGTACATATTTTAAACATTTAAAAGAAAGACAATAACTATAATGGTAACATTTTAAAGGCATAGAAGACACATTAAGGTAATGACAACCAGAAGAAGCTTTGGATTTAGAATATTTGCATTCATGGTCAAGTCTAAAAGTGATTGACTCAATTATTTCAAGTTCTTCCAAACAGTACAACAAAATAAGCATATAGTATGCCTTTTCGGGCCTTAACCCCAAAATGCAAAAGGAAATTATTTCAATTTTACCATTTGTATTTACTCTGCTTTTGAGACTCGTACCAAATTTTGAGTATAACATCCTAGTATTAAAAATTATTCTGGAAGGAGGAGATAATTCAGGATACCACAATAATTATTTCCACATTTTTTTTCAAGCTTAACATGGTAAGAAAAATTTTTTTCTCCTGATTAAAAGAGGGAAAAAGGCAAACTACAAATAAAAGATAGTACTAATAAATTCATCTACTTTAAGTCGTCAGCCTGGCCAGTGTGGCTCAGTTGGTTGGGTGTTATCCTGTGTACCAAAAGACTGCTGGCTCAATCCCCAGTCATGGCACATGCTCAGGTTGCATCCCCGGAAGGGGGCATGCAGGAGGCAGCTGACCAATGTTTCACTCTCACATTGATGTTTTTCTCTCTCTCCCTCTCCTTTCCTCTCTCTAAAAATCAATTTAAAAATCTTAAAAACAAAACAAAACAAAAAAACACACCACACAAACTAAATGGAATGGCCAAACACATTCCATATTAGGTCAGTAAACTACAGACTACCTGCAAATATCCAGCCCTCTGCTGTCTGGTTTTGTAAATAAATTTTTATCAGAACAGCAACATTCATCATTTATATGATCTATGACTGTTTTCATGCCAACAGGCAGAGCTGGGTAATTGCCACAGAGACCAAAGGCCCACAGAGCCTAAAAGATTGACCATTTGGTCCTTCACAGAAAAAGGTCATGACTCCTGATTTATAGTATAAAGAGATATGTAAAAATTAAACCAGAGGCAAATCCTCAAATTCTTTACAAAACAGTAGTTTTAAGACTAGACTAAAACAGAAATCCCGAGTTTCCTCAGCTGAAGTTCTAGATAAGTCACTTAATACATGTGTGATCTTGAGCAAAGTTACTCTTGAAAACAGACTTTATAATAACAAAATATAAGACATTTTTCAATTGCTTTACCTAATATTCTTGTCATTGTTCAATAAGAAACGACCCAGGATATTTATGGCTAGGACCTAAAGAAAGATAGCATAGGTTAAAAATCTAGAAAAATTAAAGATTTCTATTGTTTAAGGATCACTTCTGGCCTCTGTTGAGTGAAACTACTTATAGGCGGTAGTTGGTATTTTATGGCCTGGAAAGACCAGAAAGTTCAGAAGATAAATGATGGTGTTTGTTGCACAACAATGTGAATGTACTTAATGCCACTGAACTACAGACTTAAAAATTGTTAAAATGGTAAATTTTATGCTATATTCTAGCATTAATTTTTTTTAATGAAGATGATCTCTATACATGAATATGGACTAGTTTCAATATAACATTAAGTGAAAAAAGTAAAGTGCAGAACGATATACATAATATGCTACCATTTTGTTTGAAAGGTGGGAAGAGGAAAAGAACTAACCTAAGTTATTTTGGTTAATGTAATCTAAGAAGAACTATACACAAATATTGTATTATAGTAAGTTTATTTCTTATAAGACTATGGACAAGTTATTCTTATATTAATAAATGATTGAAAGAATGAATAAAATCATGAGGGAAAATTCTTCCTTACAGAAGAATTCTAATTATCTAATGAGGACAAAATGAGGGAAAACAGGAAAGTATCATTAGATTCACCACCCTAACAACTGCTGCAGACAAGATCTTCTGACGAATAAAATTGATAGGCAAAAGTCTGAGGAGAACAAGATATCTGCATAATCTTAAAGCATCTAACCCCAAAATATTACAAAGGGAAAAATTACAAAGGGAAAAATAACTTTATAGTGGAGAGACACAGCAGACACCACCTTAACCAATGATCAAGTTAATATCACCAGTAGCGAGACAAATAGAAATAGCATGTACCTCCTGATATGATATTAAGAAAGGCACATCACTTCTATGATAGTCTTGCCAAAAAAACATAACCTCAATCTGATTACGATAAAGTATCAGAGAGAGCCAAATTGGAGGATGTTCTAAAAAGTAACTGATCAGCCCAGCCAGCGTAGCTCAGTAGTTGAGCATTGACCTATGAACCAGGAGGTCAGGGTTCGATTCCCAGTCAGGGCACAAGCCTGGGTTGCAGGCTCGATCCCCAGTGGGGGGCATGCAAGAGGCAGCTGATCAATGATTCTCTCTTATCACTGATGTTTCTACCTCTCTCTCCCTGTCCCTTCCTCCCTGAAATCAATAAAAATATATTTTAAAAATAAAAATAAAAAGTGATCAGTGCTCTTCAAAGTGTCAAAGTCATGAAAGAAAAGGAGAGATAGAGGAACTGTCACAGATTGGCGGAGACTAAGGAGCTGTGACAATGAAATGCAAAGTGGAATCATAGATTAGCTCCTGGAACAGGAAAAGGATATTAGTAAGAAAATTGGTGAAATCTAAATAAAGTCTATAATTTAGTTAATGGCATGGTACCGATATTAATTTCTTAGTTTTGATAACTACATATAGTTATGCAAGATGTTACAGTACAGAAAGCTAAGTGAAGGGTGTACAGAAACTCAACTGTTTCTGTAAGACTAAATTATTTCAAGTAAAAAGATTTTAAAAGTGGGGAAGAGAAGAAATACACATATACAAACACATTTAAATAAAAACATCTCTAAAAAAATACATTATAAAATGGTAACAGTACTTCCCACTAGAATTTAGAGTCAACACGTGAAAGCTACAGGCAGATGTTTTCTTCCCTACATATCTTCTGTAATGTTTGAATTGTTTTACTTTATGTGTTTATTTCTATATAAAAGCAAATATTTAAGACATTCTTTCCAATAGTTAATTTTCAAATGGAATTCATTTCCAAAGTGCTAAATCCAAATCAATTATTCTAAATGAAATGTTTAGGGAGAAGAAAATATTTTAAAAGACTTACTCGCAGTCCACTCTCTGACTTAATATCCATGATAGTCAAAACCGTTTCATAAAGAATAGCATTTCCTACATTTTTACTAGTCTCTGTATTAGTGGCAACCTGGAAAGACACAGAGGGCAGTACACAATGATAAAACAATGCTTCCAAAAAATATCCAGAAGTAACAAGAGACATTTTGTGATTGATTATAGTCACCAATGAGGAAACACAAATAAAAACTGCTCCCTATAAACACAATCATTCCACTCCCTGCTATACTAAGATGAACATTTAATATAAATATAATGCAAGTTTGGTCTACTCACCTGTGCTAATATATCATTCATAGCTTCACTTGAGTCATCATCATTTCGTCCTAAAATTCTTAATAACCGTAAAATTCGTACCTAATGTGCAAAATATGAGAAATGTCAACTAATTATGTCTGGAACAAAGGAACTTTTTGCTTGGTATGAAATTCAAGTATCTTAAATTAAGTCTAAGATCTCCTTAGAAATGGTCAAAATTCAAAGAGATGAATTTTAAACATTATCTCTAGAGACATGACATGTGTTTCTGTGTCTTAATGAAGTTATTAGACAACCACACTGTGCCACTCCACAGCTAAAGGCTGCCACCACCTGCAGAGCTGCATTACAGGCTTACCACGGAGACACTGAGGTTCAGTTCCAGACCACAGCAATAAAGTGAGTATTGCAATAAAGTGAGTGGTAGCCTTTTTGCTGGTGGAGGGTCCTATTTTTCAATTTGTAAAAAATAAAATGCCACATCTGCAAAGTGCAATAAAGCAAAGCACAATAAAACAAGTATGCCTGTATACTGATAAGTCTCTATGTAGTACATAATTTTGATTATTACAACTATAATTTCATTCTATTAATCTAATAAAATACAGACTTGTGTAACTATTCATTTATTAACTATCAAATTTCTTCCTGACACAAACTTAAAAGGGAGGAAATGCTCTATTCAAAACTATTAAACTCAAACCATATATTCAAAGCTTTCTTTCAAGCTCACCTGCAAAAAGGGGTCACTGATACCAGAAACATCATGTTCTGGTGAATATCCGGACATGATGAGGTTCTTTAGAATACGAACTAATTGGGGCACAAGCTGCAGGGAAGAAAGATGCATCAAAAAACAGTGAACATCAAAGACTTTCTCATGAATAGGCAGGTAATTTGGCTTAGAAAAAGGGTACAAGGGTCTGAGTCCAAGCAAATTCTATTGATACAATATACTAGTATATTGTTAGTGTTGGTTAAATACAACTTAGGAGGCTCTAGCCAGTTTGGCTCAGTGGATAGACCGTCGGCCTGCGGACTGAAGGGTCCCAGGTTCGATTCCAGTCAAGGGCACATGCCGGGGTTGCGGGCTCAGTCCCCA